ATTTGTCTGAACTCCAGCGAAAGCAATCCCAACCTAATCAATCTCTACCCAATATGTCAGTCCTGCCATCCCTGGAGTCAGCCTGGTAAACCTTCACAGCTCTCCCTCAAGTGCAAGAGCATCCTTCCTCAGAAAAGGAGACCAAAATTGCACACAATACTCTAGGTGTGGCCTCACCAAGGCCCTGTACACCTGCAACGACACATCCCTGCTCCTGTACCCAAAGTGTCCAGCAATAAAGGCAATACCATTTGCCTTCTTTACCGCCTGCTGCACCTGCATGCTTACCTTCAGCGATTGGTGCATAAGGATGCCCAAGTCCCGCTACACACACACCCCTCTCCCAATTTACAGCTGTTGAGGTAGTAATATGTCTTCTTGTTTTTGCTTCAGAAGTGAATAACCTCACGTTTATCCAAATTCTACTGCATCTGCCATTGATTTGCCGACTCACCCAACCTGTCGAGTTCATGCTGAAGGATCTCTCTATCCTCATCACAGTTCACCCTCCCACCCAACTTGGTATCATCTGCAAACTTGGAGATGTTACGTTTTGTTCCCTCATCCGAATCATTAATATATATTGTGAATAGCTGGGGTCCTGGCACCAATCCTTGTGGCACCCCACTAGTTACTGCCTGCCAATTTGAAAAGGACCCATTAATTCCTACCTTTGTTTCCTCTCTGTCAACCAGTTTCCTATCCATCTCAATACACTTTTCCTCCCACCACCCCCCCAACCCATGCGCTTTAACCTTGCACATTAATTTCTTATGTGGGACTTTGTCAAATGCTTTCTGGCTCCCCCTTGTCAACTCTACTAGTTTCATTTTCATCGAATTCCAACAGATTTATCAAGCATGATTTCCCCTTCATAAATCCATGCTGACTCTGTCTGATCCTGCCATTGCTTTCTAAATGCTGTGCTATAAAATCCTTAACAATGGATTTAAGAATTTTCCTCACTACCGATATTAGGCTCACCGGTCTATAATTCCCTGTTTTCTCTATACCTTCCTTTTGAATATTGGAATGAGTATGTGGTGGGTATGGGGTCTTTAATTAAATACCCATGACATGCAGAACCAACAAGTTTACAAAATACGATGCAACGACTGCCACAAACATTACATCAGACAGACAGGATGGAAACTAGCCATCAGAATACATGAACATCAGCTAGCAGCAAAACGACACGACGAATTTTCCCTAATATCAGTACACTCAGATAATGAAGGCCATCAGTTTAACTGGAGCAACGTAACCATAGTAGCCCAAGCCAAACATAGACACGCACGGGAATTCCTAGAGGCATGGTTCTCATCCCACAATGCAATCAACAAACATATAGAATTGGACCCCATATACAAACCCATACAGATCAAAACCGGAAATGACACTACTCACTATAACAGACCAGACAGTATAAATTCCAAGTGTAGTAGAACAACAATGCTTCATCGGAGGCCTCACTGATGATGTTACCTAGCATGGTGGCAAAATGTCCGAACGAAAACATGCCAGCTCGGCGAGCAAGTGAACAACCTCACCCATAACCCGAGCTATAGATCTTTGCAAAAACCTTAAATATTGGTCGAGAAAACCATCCTGTATACATTCCGGGAATTCCTCCTCTATGGCATTGTGGCTAATTTGATTTGCCCAATCTGTGAGCAGATTAAAATCACCCATGATTACCCCATGAATGGAAGAGATATTTCTTTTCTTAACTTTTACATTTGAAGTAACTGAAAGTTATTCATCTGTTTGGAATCTTCATTTACAAGCCTATTGTTGAACATGTGATTCTCGCACGTGGCAGATGGTTTACTTCTGAAAATATCATTAGTTTCCAAAAAAAATTAACGTTTTCCCCATGCAAGTCTTGAATGTGTGTATTCATTGTCCAGCAAATTTTAGGATTTCCTCTCTGATAGCAGCCTGTGTATGAACTATGAGATACAGTGCAAAATGTTATGCACATTCTAAGCGTCATTTCTTCTGTTCACTTTATTCAACACGTGGTAGATATCCAACAGTGATTTTTCGAAATGATAAGATTGCAGATATTTTCGATAATGCACATTAGCAGACCTATGTTACATCTGTGTGTGTGGTTTTATAATATGGTGTCACATTGCAAAAATATGAAAGGAGATTATGGAAATTGCCTCAAATTATTTGAACCCAATCCCTTACAGAATCCTATAAGCAGCAACTTCCTTTAGCTGATATTTGCCATTTCTGCCTCTTGCTGTTTACACCAGATGTTTAGTGGTATCAGTCACTGCCCCTATGGGAATGTTTGAAGCCCAGATTGTGTGCTTGCAGGTAGAAGGTTATTTTAGGTTGAAGTGAGGGAGCAGACCATTTTGTATTTCTCTGTAGTCTGTTGCTCTATCACTGAATGAAATCTACGGTAGGCAAAGCCTTTGTGCAGAACTCACAGGCAGATAATATGCAGTTATACCGAATTCTTGATATGAGCAATGGCGTTATGAACACACTACCCCATTCAGCCATGTTTCAATAAGGAATTGTCGATGACCATGCCAGGAACAGCACTGAATATGCCTAAAAATAAGATGCCAACCAGTGCTGCTACTAAACAATAGAAACTAAATGGTATTAGCAGAGCTAAGCAATCCTATAACAAACAGATCAAATCCAAGCCCTGCCACATTCAGTAGTGACTGGTGTCACTCAATTAACTGACCTTTCCAACAACAAAAGATCAGGACTAGCAATGCACACTGCCAGTTGCACAGTGCTCAACACCATTTTCAAATACTCAGAGTGAAAAAGTTTGTGCTTCCGTGAAGCAAGACCTGGGCAATATTCAAAATGGAACTGATAAGTCAATGTAATATTGTCTGGCACTTGTACAGAAACAATACCCACCTCCAACAGGAGAGAGAGTCTAACCAAATTTGTTGGCATTCAACAGCATTATCATCACTGAATTCCCACACCGTCACATTCAATGGACCTGCTGTCACTAAAGTCAGAACTAGATCACCTAGACAGATACTGTGTCCACAACAGCAGGTCAGGCACTGATTATTCTGTAGCAAGTAACTCAGCTCCACACTCATCAGAGCTTTCTCACCATCTGCGATGCAAGAGTCAGCCATCTGATAATGTACCCCTCATGTGCCTGAATGATTGCAGCTGCATTATTGCATAATTAATAGGAGCCAGAGTGAGCCATATACAACTTCTGATCCACTCTGACATTAAATCAAGGCTGATTTATCTCAGCTCCACGTTTCTGTATCCCTTAATATTCAAAATTCTATCAATTTTTTCTTGATTATGACCAGTACTACCCATAGCTTTCAGAGATCCCAAAGATTCACATTCTCAATCTTTTCTGTGAAGGAATTTCTCCTCAGTTTTAAATGACCAGTCGTTTATTTGCAGTTTGAGATCCTGTGTTCCAGATTTCCCAACCAGGGGATTTTTTTTCTCTCTGAGCGCACTGCTAAACCCTATATGTTTCAATTAGGTCATCTCTCGTTCTTTTAAATGTCACAAATTAAAGGCCGAGTCAACTGCAATCTGCCCTCACCTGATGCCATCCTGGGGCAGCAGGCAATATAAAGCAGGGATATTGGAGAGGTACTCAAGTTGGCAGGATCAGACCAGTGGTGCGGTTCACAAGGATCTGTGTTAGGGCCTCAACTATTCACATTATTTATTAACAGCTTGATAATGGCATAGGAAGTCAAATATTTCAAATTTATTCAGGTCACAAAATTAGGTGACGTTGTCCACAGTGTAGATAATAGCATAAAATTACAAAGGAGCATTGATATAATAAATGAATGGGCAAAATGTGGCAATTTTTTGTAGACTTCATTTAAATTTTCTAGATGGAATGAAGTTAAATACAGTTGATGTCCAAAGCAACTTGGTATTTCAGGTACATAGGTTTTTTAAATGTCATGAACAGAAGCCGAAAATAATCAAGAAACCCAATGGAATGCTCGCCTTTATATCTAGAGGACTGGAGTAAAAAGATGCAGAAGTTTTGCTGTAGTTATACAAAACCCTGGTTAGACTCCACTTGGAGTACTGTGAGCAGAACTGGGCACTAAACCTTAGGAAGGATAGAATGGCCTTGAGTAGGTTTACATGGATGGTTCCTGGACTTTAGAGGTTAAGTTATGAGGAGAGATGATACAAATTTGGCCTGTTTTCTTTAGAATTTAGAAGGTTAAATGGTGATCTGATTGAAGTCTTCAAGATATTTATGGAAAAAGACACAGTAAATAAAGATAAACTATTTCCAGTGTTTGGGGATCCTAGAACATAAGGGGGAATGATATGAGAATTAGGGCCAGACCATTAGGACAGATGTTAGGAAGTTCTTCTACACACAAAAGGTGGTAAGGTTAGGGTGGAGCTGATCCCACGACAATTTCCAACTAGAAGCACAAGGGCAGCAGATACATGGGAACACCGCCACCTCCAAGTTTCCTTTCAAGCCACTCACCATCTACCTTGGAAATATATTGCTGTTTCATCAGTGTCACTGGGTAAGATCCTGGAATTCTCTCCCTTAGGGCATTGTGGGTGTACCTAAAGCACATTGATTGTAGTAGAAGTTCACCACCACCTTCACAAGGGCAACTAGGAACGAAAAATAAATGCTGGCTAGCCAGCAACGCCCATGTCCCACAAGTGAATTTTTTTAAAAATTCAACACTTCCCATGTTTCATTAACAAATAAACGAACAAAGAAAAGTCAGTGATATCAAGGAAAATTTAGTAAAATTCTGCATTATCAGTATGACCTGCTTAAAGTTGTATTGTAGTATCAAAATATTGAACTGCAAAATTAAGTGTACATTTTTCATTTTTGGGAGGAAAATGGTTAATTGTCACAATTTTATTGGAGATGTTAATAATACATGAGCACTCTTTCTTCCTGTGGATAATTTTATATTACTGATTTATTGCAATGGCTAAATATGATATGGATATGATGTTTTCAGCTTTCTCCAGAACAAAGTCACTTAACCTGCACAACATCAAAAGATTCAGCATTCCAGGTGTGTTAATACATGAATGATTGTTCTTTAAAACTGAACAAACAAGTTGGCACTCCCCTTATCCTAACCTGAAATATGCTCACAAATGTGCCTAGATGGTTCATGACATAAACAGCAACCTAGGTTTGTTCAGCTTCTCTTTGGCCCAAGGTCAGTGTCACATGGCTAACGTGAGCCTTCATTCCCAACAGAGAGCACTATTAATATTAATGAGTTATTCTCAATGCACAATGGTATAAAATGTTGATGCTAAGCTAGCTTGTATGATGAAGCTATTTTTAAAGATCACAGTTGGCACATTTGATGTATTTGAGCACACAACTGGTAATGCAGATTTTCATTTGCATGATTTGCTACATTCCTTACTAGCTAACCACTGCAAACCAGGAGATAGCAACAGCTGCAGATGCTGGAGTCGGAGTCAAAACAGTGTGGAGCTGGAGGAACACAGCAAGTGAGGTAGCATCAGTCGAGCAGGAGAGTCGATGTTTCGGGCCTCGACCCTTCATCAGGAAGGTCTAGGCCCCGAAACATCAACTCCCCTGATGCTGCGTGACCTGCTGTATTCCTCCAGCTCCACACTGTATGGATTGCAAACCAGGTGTTTTTTCAGTTTTGTTGCTGAAGATTAGGTGTGGTGTCACCCATTGATAGTAACACAGTTGGTTATTCTCTGTTTCAGATCCCCGCCTGGAGTTGTGTAGGAAAGAATAGACAAGTCTCCCACATCTCCTGGCCAATTTCAAAGCAGCAGCAGCACAGACTAATACCAAGTCGTGTCTCACGGCTGTTTGTCCGAAGGCTGGCTTTAAAGAGAACAGTGATATATATGAGGAATCAGATGAGGCTGTGCTGGTAATACTTGCAGCATAAGACCCTTCCTCCCTTCAGTCTGTTTGACATACATGATTCAACACAGTGCTTTTGGAGTTGCTCAACACAGATTCCAAGACGGCTGCTGGGGACAGGCCATCGAGCATGCCTACAGAAATGCTACAAGCAGATAGCATGGTCAAACCTGTTGGTTCAGCAACTACGTTTACGTCAGCTGTTCCTCTTCGCATACTAAATAAAGGGCCAGACTATTTCCGAAGGCAGGCAGAGCCTAACCCGAAAAGACTCAGTGCCGTGGAACGGCTTGAAGCTGATAAAGCGAAATATGTGAAGAGTCAAGAAGTCATCAATGCCAAGCAGGAGCCGGTGAAACCGGCAGTGCTGGCAAAGCCGCCAGTCTGCCCAGCAGTCAGGCGGGCAGCAGGTACCCCTTCACAAAAGCTATCTAACAATCATAAAGCAGACAGCACTGCAAAAAGAGAAAACTTGAATCTGGAAATTTTGAAGAATATAATTAATAGCTCAGAAAGTTCCACCTCAGGGTCAGTGCACAAACACACCGCACGGAACTGGCCCCAGCATAGACCTGCCTCCACAGAAATCAACAGGCGCACATTCGCAGAATCTATTCAGGTGTACAGTAACCAAGGTCATGGTAGTCTACAGGGAGACAACCTCAACGTAACCAAGCGATTGTTTGAAGACCAAGTCAGTGATTCAGCCCTGCACATTTCTCACAGTTCAGCAGATGTGAGGAGGGTTATTGAAGGGAAGCCTCTAAAACCAATCCCCAGTAGCAGTTCTGCCCCTCCTGTTCTACCCAAACCTAATATTTCAACATGTAATGTACCCAGGTCACCAGCACAAACCCCTCCAGACTTGCCCAACAATCCAAGCAGGCGACCGTCACTTCATCGCTCCAAGTCCGATCTCAGCGACCGATATGCCCGTGCTAATGCTGACGTGGAGCGATTCTTTAATTACTGCGGACTTGATCCTGAAGAACTTGAAAACATTGGAATGGAAAACTTCACAAGGGCTAATTCAGACATAATCTCCCTGAACTTTCGCAGTGCGAGCATGATCAGTTCAGACTGTGAGCAGTCACGACGGAGCAATGATGACCTGACAGATGACGAGGAAACCAATGACCGTGTGCCATACGGTATTTCAGCGGTGGAAAGGAATGCCAGGGTGATTAAATGGTTATATAGTTGCAAACAAGCTAAAGAATCCCAGAAAATATCTCATGTTTAAGAAAGGGACAAAAATTTGGGTTAACTGAGAGATTTTTGTATTTTTATTTTGTCTGTGAATCTTTTAGTTGTGAAGAGTTGCAATGTCTACTGGGATTTTTCTTGCAGATCTCAATTCCTCTGTGTTGCTAGCTGTCTGTTCTCTCATTGCATGCTCATTGACTTGAATTCAGAATTGGCCTATACTTCAGATTATATGAAGACATGGACTTTTCAGTTGTATTAGATATATGCCTATATACACATGTATTGATCAAAAACAGCACGGGGTACTATGTCCACATTTTATTGTACATTTCAAACAATTATATATGAGAACGTATGGCCTTTATTGTGTCAGAATCTATTCGTAAATAATTGTAACCAGGAAAAAAGAAAAGCATCTGTCCGCAATATTGCGATGGCAGCCATTTTGGTCTTGAAACGCATGGTACAGACCATGTAATCTCTAATAATCCCATGTAACCTGTAATAGTAGTGAGTTGTCTATAATATTTCTCTTGAAGCTGTCCAATTTAATGCATCAGCACGGTTCAGCTCTGACAATCCATGTCTTCCAAACCTGCTTCGACTGCCAGTCTAACTGTCTGCTGTAATGTGGTGCTCAGAAGTGAAAAGTACAGCGGGTGAGCTCATTAACTTGGTCATTGTTGCTTTTTAATATACTCCAGTACTGCACTTCATTTCATAAAAAAGACTGGTGCCTGAGCTGATGGGGAAACCAGATTTTTTTTGTACCATATAATTGCTGTTAAGGGTTTGTAAATACTTTAAAAGATGTTATCAGATCTGTAAAGAAGAAACTGTTATACGAATAAATAGTTTCCAGTCCATTCATCACCATTCTCGATTTTAGCTTTTTCATTCATAATGCTGAAGTTGCTTTAGTTTTAACATGAATACTTTCAAAAAGGTTTACATTTTTGATTACTTTTTTATTCCTGTTGAATAAATTGAGGCTTCATGAAATGTCGGTACACTGCTGGCAACGTTCAATGGTTGCCTTAGTTTACAAAACGTTACACTCATTGTTCAAATCCTAGAAATGTATTGGGTTCTCAACCATGGTCACCACTGTAATGTGATCTCTTCTAAAGGCTGTAGGAAGATTCCAAAAGTGTGGCATTGTGATGCTTTAAATTTGCAGCAAAAAACATAATAATGCTGATTTGGAATTATATCCCAGGCGTTATTTGTTTCATGTTGTGTTTTAAGACAGTAATATCTTTAAGCTATGATCATGTACTTTATACATTTCTTTTTTTCATCTCAAATCCTCAGCAAGGACCAGTTATCCCTCGTTTGCATCTTCCTGTACTCATAATCAACTAAAGTCTGATGGTCTGTTTTAAAATCCATGTCAATGTTTCAGTAAAGCTGCAATAAGGGATCACAGGTTGTATAATTGGCCTCAAAAGAGAACCCAGTGTCCTATTCATAATAGATACATAAACAGTGACTGGTAAAAATATGGCATAAAACCAAAATTGATAAAATTCACAGCATTTGAAAGAAGAGACTGTGAAACCTTCTGGAACACTGGTAAATGGTCTCGTATGAAGCATTCATTATTTTAGTCCCATATGGAGGCAAATGTGAAAGTACTTGAATCTATAATCAAGGAAGAAATAGTGAGAGTCAATATAGTGTGGAGCTGGAGGAACACAGCAAATCAGGTAGTATCAGAGGAGCAGGAGAGTCGACGTTTTGAGTCTATACCCTTCATCCGGAGAAATAGTGAGACATCTGGATAAAAATTTTCCCATCAGGCAGTTGCAGCCGGGGTTCATGAAAGGCAGGTCATGTTTAGCTAATTTGCTGGAATTCTTTGAGGACATTATGAGTACGGTAGACAACGGGGATCTGGTGGACGTGGTGTATGAGGGCGTTGGACAAGGTGCTGCACAAAAGGCTGCTGCATAAGGTAAAGGTGCTCTGTATCACAGGTAATGTATTAGCATGGACAGAAGATTGTTTGATTAACAAAGCAAAAAGTGGTGATAAATGGGTGTTTTTCTGATTGGCTAGTGGTGTGCCTCAGGGATCAGTGTTGGGACCACAATCTTTTATAATACACATCGATGATTTTTCTGAACACTGTGCTGAAGCAAAAGTAGGTGAATATTTACCTGTGCATTTGTTTTTCTGTATTTATATTGTATTCTTTTCATGTAATATCTTGTTCTATAAGCACAATTAAGTTTGCAGAATTTGGAAATGATGCTACAGACCATGCCTCTTAAAAATGGAAGAAAAGAAATTGGTGTCTAACTTGATCTGGCTCTTGGCACTTTTTTGTTAACTAGTGTTTAACAATAAAATGAATGTATTTCTGCACTCTAAGCTGAATGTAAGTGTAATTTTAGGATAACTAACAAGAATACCAGGAGGAAGCAAGGCAGAACAAAAGTTTCACCTTTTACTTGCTGCTGTTACACTTATTAGAGTTTACATCAGTTTTATAAAAAAGTAGCTGATAACCTGACCATGATTCTATCACTGCTGGTAAAAGTTCTCCCCTGACGGCTTGCAATTTAACTCAGACATGCACAATCGTACAGTTATACTTGCCTGTTTTGTTTACTTAATCACTTATAATATCCACGTGGCAAGATGGTCTCCTATATAGTTTTAGCTTCAGTAAAATGCCTCATTGTTTTACATTATTTTCAGAAGCCAGCCTAACTTCTGCATTGTTTATCCCCTCCAATGTAATCCAGCTTGTGGAGGAAATTTTACAAAAATGAAAAGAAGCAAGTCATATAAATCTAAGATTTGAAGTGAAAGAATCCAGTGAGTGAGTTTCATGATGTAATGAGGAGACAGCAATGGGCAACTAACCCAGTCAGCTCTTCTGTGCTAAAATTTTGTAGTGATTGTAACGTGGTCAGCCAGGTGGACCTCCTAGATTGGAGTTGTTAATCTGGCCCAATCAGGGAGTCCTGGCTGGCGGATTGAAACAGGAGTGTTGAAACCACGGGAATTGGTGCTTTGTCTCGCCCTCAAACTCTTATTTGATTTAACCGTCCCCTCTACCCTCCACTTCACATTTTTTTTTCATGTAAGCATTGCCCGTATCAGGCCTTGCTTGTTAATGGTTCACTGACCACATGGGTGTTTTTTTCCTGGTGATGGAAGTATATTTTCGCACAATGGCTTCTTTTTACTGAGTCACTACACACACAAACACGGGTGTTGTGCGGAAAATATAAGCATGACTGCAAGCTGGCTGGTCAAAAAAGAAAAGAGCAGGAGTGTCAGAGACCCTGTTCACTGAGAAATAAAGGTGACTTGGTGGCCATGAGAAAAAAGCACGCTCCTGAAGAAATTTGCTCACAATAGTCATCTTTGAGTTGGGGTAAGCATTTCAGGAATCATGCTATTATTTAGGGAACTTGACTTGTTCAATCCTGCCATTGAAGATTGGGCCCAGTATGTGGAAAGAATACTTTTTTTTTGTCCGGGCAAATGAAAAGCACCAAGTAATTCTCCTGACAGTTTGTGGACCTGCAGCTTTTTTGGGTATTAGCCTAACTCTACCTGAGGCACCTGATACTAAAACCTTTAAAGAATTGATGGATTTAGTTAAGGAAAATTACAGCCCAAGCTTCCTCTAATCAGTTTTACTTGACAATTGGAGAATTAAGGGATTCTGTATCGGACTTTTTGAGTTGGTTAAGATGACTGGCAGACGCATGTGACTTTGTTTTAACCCTTAATGAGATGCTGAGAGACTGTTTGGTATGTGGGATTAATGATGTAACCATGCAAAAGTGCCTAGTAGCTGAAACCCAACTGGACTTCAAACAGACACTAGAACTGGCATTATCCTTGGAAAATGAGGCAAGTGGAGCGAATGAGTTGCAGGGTATTCCAATGGAAGGGGACACCTGTGCCAGTCTGACAAATCTTGGGAACACAATTTGAGTGAAGACAATTGCATAGCCTCACTCAGGACATATCCTGAACAGAGGGACTCTAGGTCATCCTACAGCAAAACGCCAAAACAAAGCCAAGGGTCGGCCAAATGGTTAAAATTTTCTTCAGGATCCGGGCGGGCGAGCCATTGTAGTCACTGCCAGTATGCTGTCTCAAGACAGTAAAAGAGTCCCACTAGACCTAAATGGAGGAAGAGCATTCATAGGCTGGTATCCAGGAGAGTGCATTCTCTGGAAAGTCCACATATATCTGGTTTTGAACAGTTAAATTGCTTAGCAACGTCCAAATAAGAACCAATCAAAATAAAGGTCTGGTTAAATGGTAATCCACTTCTAACACAGGTTGATACCAGGCCAGCCGTTTCGTTGATTGCAGAGCCAGTCTTTACCAAAACTCCAACTCTTATATTTGTGCAAGACGTCAGCTAAACTGAGAACCTCTCCTGGGGAACCTTTACAGATTAAGGGTACATCTTTGGTTCCAGTCTCTTATAAGAAGCAGCTGGATCAGTTACCACAGATTGTAGTAATAGGCTTGGGCACAAGCTTAGTGGGGTGAAATTTGTCTGGAAAGATTGAGCTAAATTGGCTCAACGTTTCCCGATTAGAAAATTTTACTGAAGTCCTAATTAAATACCCGAAAGTTTTTCAGGAATATCTGAAGACTATCAAAGAAGCCAAGGCCACCATGCATATTGACAGGGAAGCAATTCCATGATTCTGCAAGGCCCACCAAGTGCCATTTGCCATATGTGCAAAAGCAGAGGCAGAAATAATAAGGCTGGAAAGTGAAGGCACTATCAAACCAGTCCAGTTTATGGAATGGACAGCACCAGTCATACTAATTGTGAAGCCCAACAGGTCAGTCACCTTTGTGGAGATTTTAAACAAACAGTAAACTGTTTTTCGCAGCTGGATAAATACCTAATCCCTCGCATAGGAGATATATACACAAAGCTGAAAATGAGCCATGCCTACTTGCAATTGCAGTTTGATGAGGACTGCCAGGAGAATGCTGCAATTTATACTCATAACATTTTGTACTAATATACAAGACTGCTATTTGGGGTATTGTCAGCCTGTGCAATTTTTCAATGGATGATGGAGAACGTTTTACCAGGCCTACCCCAGGTCACCATATATCTACATGACATGCTAATAGCAGGGAAGACCAATAAGGAACACTTAGAGAACTTGGACATAGTACTTAGACATTTCTCCCAGGTGGGCGTATGCCTTAGGATGGAAAAATGTGTTTTCCAGGCACCCCAAGTGACCTACTTGGGCTACAGAGTCAACAAGACTGGATTACACTCATTGGAAGATGAAGTGAGGTCGATCAAAGGTGCCCTGGCTCCCATTCTGTACCGGAGCTTAGATCTTTCCTTGAGTTGGTGAATTATTGTGGAAAGTTCATACATAACCTGACTTCCATTCTGTATCCTTTGCATCATCTCTTTAAAAATAAGGTTAGCCTTGGAAATGATGGTATAGTCAAACCCTAGCTTTCAGGGAAATGAAGAAACAGCTATCATCCTCGAAGGTGTTGGCACATGTGATCCATAGCGAGATCTGGTATTGACATGCAATGCCTCCCCGTACTGCATCGGACAGTATTAGCTCATTGGTGGCCTAATGGCGAGGAACACCCTGTAGTACATACATCCAGGACTTTGGCTAATACAGAGCATAAATACACCCAGATAGAAAAGGAAGGTTTTCCGGTCATATTTGCAGTCCAGAAGTTCCACCAGTACCTTTACAGACATAAATTTGTAATGACAGACCACAAACCCCTGCTAGGTCTACTTAAAGAGGACAAGACAGTGCCACCCACAGCTTCCGGCCGAATTCAGTGCTGGGCTCTAATACTAAGTGCGTATATTCATAAGTTGGAAC